GTGTCACCTAACTTACCCCGTGTTTCCTCAAATCTTCCGTCGCCTGGAACTATGTGCCAGACTTAAGGTTTCTTTGGTGTAAATGCATAGGAGATGCCTGCTTTTCTGGCTGAACCCTGACACATTGTGTGTGCTTCTTTCTTTTGCTCTCATGTCAATTTCTTTCTTTTTTTTTTTTTGAGTTGGAGTCTCACTCTGTCGCCCAGACTGGAGTGCAGTGGCTGCTCCAGGCCACCGCAGCCTCGACCTGCTGGGCTCCGGCAATCCTTCCGCCTCAGCCTTCTGAGTAGCCAGAATTACAGGCATGCGCTACTACGCCCTACTGATTTTTTGATTTATTGTAGAGATGAGGTCATACTGCCCAGGCGGGTCTCGAACCCACGGGCTCAGGCAATCCAGTCACCTCAGCCTCCCAAAGGCGCGGGATTACAGGCTGAGCCACCGAGCCCAGCTCTTTTTTTTTTTTTCAATTGGAGTCTTACTCCGTTACCCGGTCTGGAGTACAGTAGCGTGCTCACGGCCACCCCAGCAATGATCCACTGGGCTCAGGGGATCCTTCCACCTCAGTCTTTGAAGTAGTCAAAACTACAGGTAAGCACTACCACGCCTGGCTAATTTTTTGATTTATTGTAGAGATGAGGTCTCAACATGTTGTCCAGGCTGGTCTTGAACCCACGGGCTCAGGAAATCCTCTCGCCTTGGCTCCCCAAAGTGCTGGGATCACTGGCTTGAACCACTGCGCCCGGCCTCATGTCAATTTCTAATGCCCAAATATGTTAATTTACAGCTATATCCCACTTCTTCCTTGTTACAACGAGAAGAAAGAGTTGAGTTTACAGCATCCGCAGACCTTTCAGACCTTACTTGCTTAGTGGTTAAAGCCTGGGCACTGGCATGAGACAGGCCTGGTGTTGACTCCAAGCTCCTGTGTCACTTATTAGCTATGTGATCTTCCACAAGTTATCTAAGATCCTTAAGCCTCAGCTTCTTTTATCATCTACAATATGGAGATAATTTTCCTACTTCATATGGTTATTATGATTGATTAAAATATGTGCCCAAATTACTCAGGACAGTGTTTACAGATTGTAAATGTTCTGCAAAGAAAGCAATGATTAATTAGAAAGTCTTTCTTTTTCATAATCTGAGCCTTTGCAGTTGGTGTTATTTACGTCAAGAGGCTGACATAAAGTGAGGACTAGCATTTGTTGACATTTTAACCTCGGAGGGTACTAAGCCAAACCATTTATGTGCAGGGTCAGGATGTATGGGGTTGATTATTATAAATATGAATTGGTGGATTAATTTTTCTGCTCTTAGCCCTGAACTGGAGGATCAGTTGAAGACAGCTTGTATTGGGGACTAGACTTAATGACTTCTGTACTGCCTTATTCTTTCTATCTTCCTATCTTCTTGTCTTCTGTCCTCTTTCTCTTCTGGAAGGTCAGATTAATTCCCAGCATCTTTTTAAAACTTTCTGATTATTTCAAACAAATTGGGTGTTTGCGGTAATTTACATCTGATCTTCAGGACCCCAAGCAGAATTCCACAAAGAAGACCTCCTTCAGACTTTTTCCCCCAAAAGAATACCCTGCCAGGCAGCCTGTGGCACTGTTATTTTGCAAGAACACTTCAAGTACTATGCGACTGCTAGGCTGTGCCTTTCTTTGGCTTAAGACCGGTTTCATTAACAAGCATGTTCACACTTCAACCGCACCATTTAAAATAACACCCGCACAATGTGTTTAGTGTCTAGTTAATTATTAAGTCTCTGAGCTTGAATTATTCAAGCAAAATTGATTGGGTTCAACCTTCTTCCTTCTCTTTGTGAATGTGCGTGTGGGTTTTTTTTTTTAAATAAAGATAAATTCTCCCTTCTACTCTCTAATAATGTGGAAGGGGTTATTTAGCAACCATCAATACCTAGAACTGTGGGTGGTACCTAAGTGCTATCAGAATAGGTAGAGAACTGGCAGCTTTATTCTTTTGTTAAAAAATGTATGTACATCTCATATACTTCCACTGTTAGTTAGCATTTATTGAGACCCAACAAGTTTTAGGCTTTCTCTTTCAAACATCTTTATGGATATTTATAAATCAGAAAAATAGGTACCTTGGGGCCAGTTCTTTAGTGTACTGCACTTCAAAAAGCAGAAGGAATTGCTTCCTTCTTTGCAACTCCATCTTATGGTCAAATAAAATTGTGTTGGCTTCACTATTAGAAACCATATTGTTGAAGAATATTTGTTGACCTGAAAAGACATTCATTAATATATTGCTAATTGCAAACAGGAGACTATAAAACCATCTTTTATTATGCATCATTTTTGTTAGAATGCACAGGACTTGAAGAATAAACACCAAAATATTGTTTATTATCTATGTTAGGATTAATTATTTTTCTTTTCTGCTACATTCATAATTAGACAACACACATTTATAGAGATGTCATGGCTGGAAATGGATGACCTTTTGTCTGACTCTATTGAAAAATCACTTGTGTCAATAGTGCATTGAAAATTATGCTCCCAGTTGGGCTTGGTGGCTCAGCCTGTATCCCCATTCTTTGGGAGACTGAGGTGAGTGGATTGCCTAAGCCCGTGGGTTTGAGACCCGCCTGGGCAACTTGGCAAGACCTCATCTCTACAATAAATCAAAAAAAATTAGCCGGATGTGGTAGCGCGCACCTGTAGTTCCAGCTACTTGGAAGGCTGAGGCAGAAGGATCGCTGGAGCCCAGCAGGTGGAGGCTGCAGTGGCAGGGAGCGGCCACTGTACTCCAATCTGAGTGACAGAGTGAGACTCCAACTCAAAAAAAAAAAAGAAAAAGAAAAAGAAAATAATGCTCCCCACCACTACACAATATATCCATGGAGTCGATATGCATGTGTACTCCCGAATCTAAAATAAAAGAAATTATAACAAATAAAAACAACAATTGGATCTAAAAAAGATAAAATAATGACGTTGTCATTTAAGCCAGGCAAGTGTAGACTTTGCAAGTGTAGATTTCACAAAAGATTCACAATATCTTGTGAATCACAACAACTTGAATCAACTTCTGTTAGCCTTCATTTTTAGACTTTATGTCTAGACTTTCCTTTCTAGGTCTTCCTCAGCTTTCATATTATCTAGATGTAAAAAGATGTAACTGTGGGAATTAGACATTAAACTGTGAGTGGCTGCCTACAGGTGTGGGAAAGGAATGTAAAATAAATGTATTTTGGAGAAACAGTATAAAGGAGACGGCAATTTTGAGAGGAAGAACAGAAATGCAATGACCCAGTTTTCTGGTGTTATTTTACATGTGGGATCTTCCACAATATTTTCGTACTGCAAGCTTTCCTAAAATTGGTCACAAAAACCTGGAAGGGCCCTATGGGCATCAGGTACTGTAGCTATCCAGTGACTTGCCTTTGCTATCTAGATTCCCGCATTGTGCCACCGGGTTTCAAGTGTGTGTGTGTGTGTGTGTGTGTGTGTGTGTGTGTGCGTGCAAACAGAGGTGTGGGTTTGATGACAGTGGTGAACTGTCTTGACTCCCTTCATAGGCTGAATCCCCTGTGTGTGTGTGTGTGTGTGTGTGTGTGTGTGTGCAAACAGAGGTGTGGGTTTGATGACAGTGGTGAACTGTCTTGACTCCCTTCATAGGCTGAATCCCCTGTGTGTGTGTGTGTGTGTGTGTGTGTGTGTGTGTGTGCGCAAACAGAGGTGTGGGTTTGATGACAGTGGTGAACTGTCTTGACTCCCTTCATAGGCTGAATCCCCTGTAGGCGGTAACCATGGCTGGGGGACAAACAGGCAGCAGCTAGAACAGTTCCAGAGGAGAAACACTATGCTCCACACAGAGAAACTTTTGGGAATAGAGAAGGGGGATCCTGTCGTTTGCGCGCACATACAATGACTCAGATGATAGCGCACACTACCATGAAGTCTGTCGTTGCTTTTGTCCCGGGAAACGACACAAGAAGTGCTGTAATTAGACGCCCGAGACATTATCGCCCTGGAGTGTGCGCGCCCCGAGCCTGGGGGGCGGGCGGTGAGTAGGTAAGGGGCGGAAAGGAAGGCACTGTCTTCCAGATCTGTCGGAAGCCTGAGTGCGTCGGCTTCTGGGGCCCCTCCGAGCAAACGTGCCGGGCAGGT